GCATGGCCGATCTTTCACCTCGACGACGCCAGTGATCGGGTTTCGGAGCACCTCTTCTTCAGAGGCGTCCATCCTGGGGTTTGTGTCCTCATTACTGGAACTCATCTTATCTACTTCTTTTTCAAGTGTGATAAGAATTTGGATTGTAACTCGACTTTGCTCTTTTTCAAGAACGTACCCTTTTCAGGGTAAGTAAATGGTTTTTCGATGACTTTTTCGATGGAGAATGTAGAACTTTGGACGGGAAGTGTCCCATAGATGGCACCAATCTGTTGACCTCGCGAATTGGACCTCCCACGTGGCCAATCGATAGCTACTCCACGTGATCCTCCCTGCGTACAATCAATGCACGGTTAGACGCACACAGTCGGAGCCAGTGGGAGGTGGTGGCGACCGCATACACTTCGACAGTCAAGTTAGTATCCGGTGATCGGAACAGTGCCCGGGTTGTGTAAGAGAGTGGAGAGGAAAATATATATTTTCTTGTTATGGAGAGCTAAGTTGTAAAAGTTTGCCTATTGTCAAACCTTGGGTATTTATAGGTGAGAAGAACCGTTGGATGTGGGACACGTGTATGCATTTGACAGTGTGAGGCGTCTGCTCATAGGCGTCAATCAGCCGCGTCTATAGAGTGGACGAGTAATAACTTCTTCTGAGTTGAGTTGGCATAAAATTGATACGTCACATCAACTAGACCCATGGAGACGTCAAATCAATTAAGCTTTGGGGGCAGAGAGGATCTTGACACAAATCTCTTTCTGAAAGTGGCGGCGGATCCGCTGAAGGAGAACCTCAGAGTGCATTGCGCTTCGACGTCAAGGACACTTCGTTCGGTTCAGTAGAATTATTTTGTGCCTCGCAGCGTGCGGACATTGGTGGTGGAGTCACTTTGGAACCACTTCGGATTGGTGGTGGACACCTCGTATGATGCAGTGGTAGACTTTTCGAAGTGGTTCGACTAGGGGCGTAACACTTAAAATAATTAATAATTGATTTAAAAGTTATATCATATTTCAGGCGGCAATACGGATATCGGGACAACTTATCAATCGAGTTGATTTTGCATAATTCTATGAGTAGAAAAATATAAATATTTTTAAAGTATTTATAAATTAAGTATGTTATCAAAGTATGTGCAATTCTATGTTCGATTTTATGATTACTACATAAATCTCTTTCATTATGATTTATGTGGAATTTCAAAGATTTCTTGTGGTACATTTATGACTTGAGATATGTGATGTTGAGATCGACCAGAAAAATGCTCGTGATTATATACTTCTTATAATTCACAAAGGGGCCTTGACCGTGTTCTATCCTACATGGAAGGATCTTGACCAGATATTCGTCTTGTGTACATATAGTTCACAGAGAGGCATTGGCCGTGTTCTAGAATTTATTACTAGAGGTCTTGAGACCGATTTTCGTTCATGGAGGGAGCCAACGGCCCGTGGCGAAAGTTCTTAACCCGAGGGGCGGATTACAGATTTTAATCAGATGGTACATTTTTTGTGAATTTTTTCGTGCATTTGATGTGATGAGATTATAGCATGATTACCAGCTTATATTTATATCATGACTTGAGATGATATTTTGCCACGTTATATGAATGTCTCACGTTTTGGCTACAATTATATGATATTATCTTGTGAATTATTCAATGATATGAACTCGATTTTTTATAAATATGTAAAATTGAAAAAGTATAATTATTTTTGAATTTCTCCACTCATTGAGCTATCAACTCTTATATTTTTCCGTAATTTTTCCTATAGGTAGCAATTGATTTTTTTTAGTTGGAAGAGCCTAATGATTTCGAATTGAGAGCCATACGACATGTTGACTATTATAACTCGTTTTGATGAAGCATGAAGTAAATAATTTGGGCCCATCGCATTATGTTTTACATAAGCATTTGATTTTGATGCATTTTTTTGAAGTAACTCATAGTCAACCTTAGTGATAGATTTGACGTCTAGTCAACATCTATCATTGGCGCACATCATGTTTCGGGTCCACTAGGTTGATTCAGGACGGGTCGTGTCATAGCCTCGTTCGATTTCGTGTGTGGCTTTGGGTACTTTGGTGCTTCTTATTTGTACAGAAAGGTACAATGATTTCTGAGCCCAAATTTGATGAAATCTTGGTGTCAAATGTTTGATTTGTTTGTAACCTTTTACAGTGAATAATTTCTGGAATACTTTGTGTATTTTTGATTTCATGGTATAATATAGAGTGTGTCAAATAATTGTTTTATCTGACTTTATATACTTGGTTTGATGCCATGGCTACTAATCCGATAGGACTGCCTAATTTCATGTTATTTCTTTTTTGTTTAAATTGATAATACACTTCCTATGTGCTCTCTTTTAATTAATAAAATTATCTGATTACCTATTAAAAAAAATCTAAAACCTTAATCCCAGCAGAAGTGCTTCCAACCGTCATCAAAACCAAGCAAAATGCTAATATCCATACATGAAAAAAGCCTTAGGTACAGGCTTTTGACGGGCGTATCTTGTCAGTACCCTGCTGGCTTATTTTTCTTTCTTTTTTTCTCTTCCAATGGAAAACCCGTCAAGTGTTATTTCTGTAAAATTTCTGTTGATTTTTTCTGTACTTATAGCATTGTTCATCTATACATAACCTACCCCCAAATGGTTTGGCTGGATAAAATAGTTCAAAATCTTTATGACAAACCTACCGAGTCTTTTGCATCGGTAAAAGAAGAGCTTTTAGTAGAAGAGGAGAATTAAATCATAAAGAGATGAAATACCAGATGCCCGACAAGTCTAAAGTCAAGTGTCATATTGACATGTTACAATAAACCGACATCATTTGCACCCTTCTAAATATGCATTTCTAGTAGCTATCATATTAACTCAGAAGTGACACGGGGTAAATAAAATCAACACGGTAAATGATACAAGAAAAATGTTGTAGAAAATGACTTGATAACTTATGATAATTCATGTAGAATAGAAGTCTTTGCATGCATGTCTATGAGAGAGAATTTTACATGGCACAATTTACCTGAATGATAAGTTCCTTTGACATGTTATCTGAAAGAGGAGATCCGTAAAAACACATAAGCATTTCAAAAGTGGAGTTTCTGATATATATTTGCATATCAGTGTTCGTAGCCTGTCTGTCTGTCTTGAAATTAACAAAGCTACTCCTCAAAAAATTCTAGAATAATGGTATGGTCTGTCATATAATTTAAGGAAACAATAGAAGAGACAAGCATATAAGAGTTGATTTCAGTAGAAGAAAATTGCATTAAGAAATAAATGAAATAGAATTTTCAACCATATACCTTCATGTTCACACTAGAACAACACATAACATTCTTGCTTATAGAAGAATAATTGTCATGTGACATTATTTCATATTATAATATAATTTGAAATAATGAGGCTCAAAACAAGAGCATAGTAACATCACAATTTAATAATTAGATTACATTTAATTGTATGATATATTCAAAATATGTACAAATTATCATATTTTTATTACCTCAAACTTTTTTGTTACATTTTTATTCTCAAATTAACATAAATTATTCGTGATTACAATTTACTTCCAAAAGTTTTTTTTCAAGATAGACTAAAAAATTTCAATTGTCCATTATATTCTTAAATAAGCAAAATAAATATAATGTAAAAATGCGATTAAATATTTGACCATTATTTTAAAGTAAGCTAATAAATTTTTTAGACGAAAATCATAATTAAAGACAATAAAATGTTAAAAATAATAACGCGAGGAAGAAAAAAGTTATAAGTATAAATGTGATAATAAATAAAACTAAAAATGTGGTGTATTCATAAAAGACATTGCCTAAAATATAGCTTACTCATTTCAATCGCGTATTCATATAATAAAATGTTCTATACGTAAATTTAAACTTTTTTCATACTTTTAATTATACATTCTCCTAAGAATCATTATTCAAAATATTACTTTTCTATATAATGATGGTCAAACAAGCCAGTCGGCAATTATATTTCTATCACATTTTTTATTTCTTGTACAACATTTTAATTGTGTTTGAGGTTCTTAACCTTTGTTCATTATTACACTTACGTCTGTAACAGTTTTTTATGTCATTTGTATCCACACACCTTTTCGTTAGTTAACACATTTTACATTAGTTAACACATTTTATGTTTAAAAGTTTATTGAAATTGTTAAAATTACTTATTTTTTCATCATATTTTAAAAATATATATAAATGAAAAGTGCGAAAAATACTTTTTCCACATTTCAAAGTATAAAAACAAAATATTTTGATATAAATTATCATCAATGACGAGGCGTACTAATTAATGAAACATTGAAGAAAAGAATTAGACAAAAACATGTTATGAAAAATAATTGCTATAACAAACAAATTGGCATGAAAAATATTTTCATTGTTTTAAGGAAAACAAAAATTACTCATCCCAAAAAGAATATTTTCCTTAAAAACAAGAAAAATTAGACATATTTTCAATGAGAAAAATAGCAATCAAACACTTCAAAGTAAAAATTTGGTTGAAATACTAATATTTTTCATGGAAAATAAATACAATCAAACACATTCCTAGTTATAATTAAAAGGTGGTATATTAAGTCCCGTTTGGTAGCAATTTTTATCTCAAAAAATCAATTTTTTTATCGTTATTTTATTATTTCAGCCATCATTTTTTTACTTTCTGACTTATAGGTGGAATCCACTTTTCTTCTAACTATCAAAAAATCAATTCTTATATTCACTATTAAACAAGTCCTAAATAAAAATTATAATGACTATATTGGGTTTATTCAATAATGATTATAAAATTTGATTTTTTAATCATTAGGAAGAAAAGTAAAATCTATCTGTCCGTGAAAAAATAAAAAATAACGATTGAAATAATAAAATAACGGTGACAAAATCAATTTTTGAAGTTAAAAATCACTATCAATCCGGGGCATAATTATCCTTCCAGTTTCCTCAATTCTCGCATAAACCCGATAATGCCCCGGTACGAGCCTAAATGATTCGGGTTCAAAACACTATTAGCCCGATTTTTCTCTCCTTCCGCCTTTCTCCTGTCGTCGCCTCCTCCATCTGGGTATTTCTCCTTCTCCTCCTCCGCCGCCGCCATCCACCACCGTAATAGCGCTACCACTTCTAGTGAGTAGATTTCTCTCTCAATAAAAAGTAGAGCATAAGTTGTGTATTTTGTTTTTTTATATTTGTTTTTACTTTTTACTCGAAGTTAAGTGAATGAATCGGAAATGGGCATTGCTTCATTTGTTTTATTTGCTTATCTTTTTGTTGTCATATATTCTCGGTCTCATTTTGCCTTAATTTTACACCGTCGCCATATTATGGCAATGCGAATCTGATATTTCTACGTGAATTTGGTTACTTAATTTAAGTTAATTATGGATACGTATTTTGATTGAGCTTTAAATTGTAAAATTGGGTTAGTAATTACCTGTGCAAGGATGAAAAATGGTTTAATTTGGGTTAGTAATTACCTGTGCAAGGATGAAAAATGGTTTAATTTGGCATTAGATATCTAGAGTTCATATAATTTCTTTACTGAGATGCACTTTAAATTGGTTCGTCTCAAATTTTGAAAAATAAAATCACTTAGAGCTTGTCACCGTGAAATAGAGAAAAAGATTCAACGGGAAGGTTCCTTTGTTCTCTGTAATTGTCGGGTTGTTGGATTACATTTCTTGTTCTCTATGGAATGGACTACTTGTCACGTATTGAACTTGATTTTCGAACTTTAAACGTGCTTATTTATTTTTAGTATCTGTTAAAAATTATTATGTTGACTCCCAGATGTCAATTTCTTTAGTTATATATGTGCTGTTAATGTGTAAAGTATATCGATTATGATTTCCGATTCCCTCCTTTTCAAGATTTCTTAATTCTTAGGATGCTTCTTGTCTGCTGATTATTTGTGACTAAATTGAATTTTTTGCTTATAGAGCTGAGAGATCGACTTTTGAGGGTCTCTTTTGCTAATGGGTTCACCTGAACGCACAAGGAGATCTGCGAGACAGGATGTAAATGAGGATGTAGAGGTGAACATTGATAGTGTCAGGGAGGATGATGAGTGGGATGGTGATGATAAGAGAAAACACCGGTCAAACAAGTCAAGGAAACCTGGAAGTGGGGAAGACACTGATGTTTTGGATGGCAGTGCTAGAAAAAGAAGTGCGGCTGACAGATATGAGAGTCGAAAGAGAGTGGCTAGTTCGAGCAGAGCTGACAGCGATCAGGATGACTATGAAGCTAGAAAGGAGCGCTCTAAGCAGATGAAGAAAAAATTAGAAGTAAATGCATTGGAAAAAATGAGCAGTTGGTATCAAGATGGAGAAGCAGAGAACAGACATGAGAGTGGGGACAAATCTGAGAGTAGAGGACACAGTAGAGCTGATGAAAGGGACAGAAAGAAACCAAATTCAAAGTACTCAGATCATGATTTTATTGATGAAAAGGTTCAAGAAAGAGATTCTAGACATTCAGATAGAAGGGATAGTGGCAGAGAAAAGAGACATGGGTCTGCCGAGCATGGAAGAACCTCTCACAGAAGATGGGATGAGTCTGATGCGGTTGGTAAGTCTTCTGGTCCTAAGCTGGATAGTTCCAGAGAAAGAAGCGACTCTCTGAAAATTGAGCCAGCCTATAGCAAAAGCATGGATTTGGTCTCAATTGATGAAAAAGGTATTAAGTCTCAGGACAGAGAGGAGAGAGGAGCTGATTCAGAAAAGAGTAAGAGGGGGAAGTCTGAAGCTCTGGAGGACATTGAGATATGTGCTGTGCATGAAGATATATCAAGTAAAGAGAGATTCGAGGAGAATAGACAGTTGAGAAACTCAATTAGTCGAGATGTTGACATCCGTGAGAGGTCTTTCAATGCAGATGAAGAGGCGAGAGACAAAAGTAGGAGAGAGGTTGACAGTTCCATTGTGTCCAGGACACCTGAGAGGAGTGGAAGGCGTCATTATGAATCAGACAATTTTGACATGGATTATGAAAGGAGCACTAGTTTCAGGAGGAAAGAACAGGGTAGAGATAGCTCGTGGGATGATAGATCCAAAGAAAGAGATGAAAGTTGGGGTGACAAAAGTAGGGATAGGGAAAACATTAAAGATAACTGGAAAAGGAGGCAAGACAAGGAAGCAAGAGATGGGGAAGTAGCCTATAATCTGGGAAGAGATTGGGAATTTTCAAGGCGTGGACGTGAGAGGATTGATGGTGAAAGACCTCATGGTCGCATTGGTGGTAGAAAAGATGGAAGCCGGACTGAAGCTGTGAAAACCTCATCAAAGTATGGGATATCAAATGATAACTATGATGTGATTGAGATCCAGACCAAGTCATTTGATTATGGAAGAGAGGAGTCTGGATCAATTTTTGCAAGAAGCAGTGATGTTGTTCTTCAATCTGACAATAAATCAGCCCCACGTGATGAAGAGTTTGGTTATTCAAGGTTGGAAAGGTCAAAAAACACTCCTGCATCCGGATCGTCTGGTGAAGGTTCAAAAGAAAGATTCATGGATGGTGGCCTTACAATGCCAGATTCATGGAGAGATGACACTGATAATCAGACAGAAAATTCTAGACTCCAGAGAGGTGTTGGGTCGAATCATGGTGCTGCAAGCCAAAGTTTTAGCAGTGGCTCACAACTCCCACTTGGAAATCCAGAGCCAGGTTCCTTCAGTAGAGGTGCTTTTCAAGGTGTCAGGGGAAGTAGAGTAGGGAGAGGGGGAAGGGGTAGGCATCCAGGGAGAGACAATCAACAGGCTGGTATTCCAATACCCTTGATTGGATCACCATTTGGACCGCTTGGAATGCCTCTTCCTGGACCTATGCAATCTCTAAATCCAAACATGTCCCCTGCTCCTGTTCCTCCAATTTCTCCAGGAGTATTTATTCCACCGTTTCAACCTCCTGTTGTTTGGCCTGGAGCTCGAGGTGTTGAGATGAATATGCTTGCTGTTCCACCTGGTCTCCCACCTGTTCCTCCTGGGCCATCGGGACCTAGATTTCCCCCTAATATCGGAAATCCACCAAATCCGGCTTTGTTTTTCAATCCATCAGGACCTGGAAGGGGATCGATTCCTAACATGTCTGGCCCTAATTTTGTTGCTAATGCTCCAGCAGTCCGTGGACAACCTCAAGACAAAGCCCCTGGGGGCTGGGTTCCTTCTAGATCTAATGGACCTCATGGCAAAGCTCCTTCTAGAGGAGAGCAGAACGATTATTCTCAAAATTTTGTCGACACTGGTATGCGTCCCCAGAATTTTATAAGGGAATTGGAGCTCTCTAGTGTCGTGGAGGACTATCCAAAGCTTCGGGAGCTTATACAGAAAAAGGATGAAATTGTTGCCAAATCTTCCTCTCCTCCTATGTATTATAAGTGTGATCTGCGGGAGCAGGTGCTTTCTCCAGAATTCTTTGCGACCAAGTTTGATGTAATTCTCGTTGACCCACCTTGGGAGGAATATGTTCACCGAGCTCCTGGAGTGACTGATCATATGGAGTACTGGACATTTGAAGAAATAATGAATCTCAAGATTGAGGTAGGTATTGCATGTATTTCTGATGCTCCGATGTTTCTTTATTTTTATATCTTTTCATAAAAATGTTATGGTTGTGATCCATGTTGCTATTCTTGACATCAATTTAATGTATCACTTGAATCGTATTCTCTTTCATTATTTCCCCTTTGAGTTAAATTATGCACCCTCAGGACCACATTCATTGGTTATTATAATTTTTTCCTTTCTTACTCTGTATACATTTGATTCATCATTTTTCTATCTATAGGCAATTGCAGACACTCCATCTTTCATCTTCCTTTGGGTTGGTGATGGTGTTGGGCTAGAGCAAGGCAGACAATGTCTAAAGAAGGTAAAGAATGAGTTCTCCAAGAAGATAAATTACTTATGAATTGGTCACGTTTATGTTATTTTCTTTTTGTCAATATTTACTGCCCCACTTTTTTGTCTCTTTACTGCCCCTTAGTTTTGGTAGGAACCACCCGAGGATTTAATGAAATAGATGAATAGCTGTAGAAATTATAGAAATGTATTGATGGTAAGATGAATTACAGAAATAAAGGAAATACAATCAGCCTTTCGAGAGGACTCTACTCTCCACAATATAGTTTTCACTCACTAATTTGCATGCTTATGCTCCTCTAACTCTTCCCTATTGATAAACTACTTGTAACTGGTTTTCCCTCCCCATTCAACCTCTCTCACAGAGTTTGTTGCAGTCAAAGCCTTCACCTATCTTCTTGACCCTTGTAGAATCTTTTTATTTAATTAGGGCCTATTAATTATCCGCTGCCCCAAAATTCACCTTGTCCTTAAGGTGGAAGTGTGGTTCAACTTCAAAATTCGAAATTCCATATGGCTGAACCATTTTTAGAGTAAGCTTGTTATAGTTGTTAGCCTGTGTAGCCAATCGTCCACCTACCATTAAAATGTTATTCATACAAATTCCATAATCTGTCGCACCCCTTTGCGGGCTTTCCAAAAAATGAACCAAGGTGATAGGAACCACGTAGCTCGTAGTGTCTGTGGTCTGCAGCTCCAATTGACCAACCCACTTTGCCGAAATGAAGGTAAGTGTAGCTCCACAACTAATCAAGACTATTACTGACAGCCTCAAAATTGAGCCCCTGATTTTCATGGTTTTTGATGTGGTTAGTCCTCCCACATAATTGAGTGATATCTCCCCTAATTCACCTACTTCGTCCTCTTTATCCCCTTGAACTTTCCATGGATCATCTCCTTCCTCTTGTACCACCAAAATCCTCAGCTCTTATTTCGACACCTATGCCCCCAATTATATTTTACATCACAGCGGTAACACCAGCTTGTTCTCCTCTTCAGATGAAGCTTGGTGTCGATGAGTTTCTTAAATGGAGGAGCACCCTTCGCGAATGTTAGTTGTCAGATTAAGCTTGCTGCTGGTTTTGGGTTGGTTTGGTGTGGTGGGTGGACTATGTGGGTTAATTGAGTGTAAAAAGGGGCTTGATAAGAGTGTACTAGTGGGCTAGAAGCTGTATTTAAGTGGTTAGAATTATGTCTTATTTTATTTGGGCCAAAATTGAGTTGTTTCCCAGACTCATTGCATTTTTCCACTTGTTGGGCTAACTCACTATTTATGGCCTAAACCCCTAGGCTTTAGCATCTCACCTCAGCCCTCATAATTGGTTTCAACCCACTAATCAAAATGCGTCCATCACCGCTTCAGAATTTGTTTGCAACTAATATCTCAGAAATTGGCAATTTGAGCCCACGACCGCATGTCTCTGTCTTTCTCAGTTCTTCTCTGCAGTTCCAATTGTTTGCATTTGCCCAAACTTCATCAGGTTGCCGTGGAGTTTCAGAGGTAAGAATTGGTTCGGCGAATTGGCTTTTGCCCCTTTTTCCTCTCTCCCTTTGCTCTGCCACTGATGATTACTTCATCTCCACCGATTTTGTTCTCTGCAGTATTTTGCTCACGGAACCTACTCCCCTTTGTCCTCTTCCCAAGCTCATGGGCTTGGATCTGTTCATCAGAATTCATAGGCAGCAATTCTGTCACCGCTGTATCTCCTTTCCTCATACATGACTGTTTACATGCTGAAAGTTCCTCAACCATGGAGACCTCCTTCCTACAAAATTGATCCCACCTCAAGCACTTCAATTCATCCCAAGTTCACACCGGTCGTAGTTGATCTACCTCCTATAACCATTTCCATGTTTCGCAGTCTAAACAGGATGTTGCCGCTTCTATTTTCTCTACCTCCAATAATTGGTTACTAGAGAAAATATTCTCCTCTTTAGAGATCTATCACTCCCTTGTGAATCCAATCCTAAATTCTCCTCTCGGTCTCCCTCTTCCAGTTGCTTATCATCCTTTCTAATTGATTCAATATCGAGCCCCACCCAACTCTCTTCCATTTCCTTGCTGAAATTTGTTGTCATTGCCATAACATCGTTGCTCTGATACCAGTTTATAGGAACCACCCAAGGATTTAATGAAATAGATGAATAATTGTAGAAATTATAGAAATTTATTGATGGTTAGACGAATTACAAAAAAAAAAAAAAAAAAGATATCGTATGTCTTAATTACAGTTTACCCCATAAAGAACGAATTCGTTCCCTAAATTTTTCCCAATCCTCATTCTGTCGAGAGGAAGTGATGTTCAATTCAGCCGCGACGTCATCATCATCAACTTCCAACTTCTTGTACTGCTCGACCAAGG